GTGTGTGTGTGTGTGTATATATTTTTATATGAATGAATTGTATTGAATAAAAGTGATTTGGAATAATATCAGCATATTTGATAATTGAGCATTTGTTATTCCAGATATAATCACTAGTATAAAGTGTAAAAAGAATCAGTGATAGAACACGTCATCCTTGTGGTGCCCCAGTACTGACAGAACGTACATTGGATTTCATTTCGCAAATCCTAACAAACTGTGGTCTGCCTTCGAGGTAGCTAATTAACTATATCGTTATCTTAATGTTAATATCTATTTTGTTGAGCTTATCTAAAAATATATGAGGCTGAATGCAGCTAAACGCGCTGGAAAAGTCCATGAATGTTTATACGATGTAGCTTCTTGGGATATTTAGATGTCTATAGACGCTATCGGTGTACACTAATACTGCATAATCTTCTCTTCTGCTTTTTTTAAATTTTTTTAAAGCAAATTGCTTAGGATCATTTGCCACACCATCATGAGATAAAGTTATCTTAAGCATAATTCTTTCAAGACATTTCATAGGATTTGATGTTAAAGCCACTGGAAAATAGTCATTGAGTATTGAAATTTTATTGGATATTGGCCAGTGGTGTTATAGCTGATGTTCCATGTTGTTGGTATAATTAGCCACTGTACGTTTAAATATTAGTAAATATTGGAACAAGTTCTTGGCTACAATACTTCAGCACGCTATTGCTAACTGCATCTGGTCCAGTGGCCTTGTTAGTTTTAACTCGTGAGAATACAAGAACCATCTTATTGCATCGTTATTTTTCTCATTATATTGATTCTGATTTAACAAAGACCTGGTTATTGCACGTATGTTTTCACTAAATTCCACTTCGTCAAATCTACAATAAAATGTATTAAGATCATTTGCAAGATTAGCATTGCAAGTTGGCAATGTTTGCTTTCTTAAATTTAAAACCTAAATTTATCAATATATTAATTTCTTTTAGTTTTCCTTAAGAAGGCAGGCATGCGGTTCTTGTCAGCGAAAACATTTTGTTTTTCTACAAGTAATTTTCTAATTTATCTTGTCATCCACATCTTATTATTTGGATATAAATTTTTAGTTTTCATTGATTGTTTGGCAGATTGTAAACTACAATTCTTTGTGGTTAACCATCATAAAAGGCACACATGTGAAGTGCCCAGATGGTCCACCGCCACCCGCTCCTTTCTCTATTTCTTTTCGATTTGTCAAAAAAAAAAAAAAGAAAATTACATTCAATTTTGAAGTCTCAGGGATATTTCCAGCCTTTTAGGGGTGAAATAATCGTAAATTTTCCCTCCTTTGGCCTCCCTCTAGTTCAAATTCCTGGACCTGCCACTGATAGCCATCATTGTATACGAAGTTAAATTGTGACATCACTAAATTTTAGTGATGTCTTATAAGGAATCATACCTTTACAAGTCATTAAACCTAATTGATTTACTAAAATTTACATTGGATATACCTAAATGTATTTAGGTTTAATCTTTTACTTTTCATAAGACATAACTATTATAGATTATTATTATTGTAATTCTAATGATAGGTTTAAAATATTTTTGGTTTTTTTAAATTCTTTTATAAAAAAAGGAGTCAATTAAAATAAAAAGCTGGGTACACGCTGCACTGAAGGCCGTCCGCCGATGTGACAACTTAGGGAACACAATGCAATGATGTGCCCTCAACGGATAATGTTTACTGTAATTATAATCCACTTAGATTGCGCCAGACGACTGGTGGCGAAATTGTGCCCTGCTATATATTTTAGCTAGGTATCACAAATCTCTCAATTTTATAACGACTACATGCGAGTAACTAGAAAAAGTATACAAAGAAAATAAACTAACAAACGTTTATTCCACAAAATAATAGTGACATTCTTTGGTCACAACAATTATTGTTGTATTCCACAAAGTCAAGGCATTTTTTTTATGGACAATGGTGTTATTGCAGAACATGTTAAGCTTTAAGAATTCTTTCTATACTATAAACATCCCAAGATTCATACAGTTAAGGTATTCCAAACAGTCAAGGTTTCCAAGAATAAAGAATTATTGCGATAGAAAATTTTCTTTCGAGGCATTCTGTTTCTGAAAATCCAGTGAAAGACCAAAAAATTCAAGTTAAACAATATAGAGGGCGCTATAACAAATTCATTGTGACAATAAAATATATTTGTTTTTTGAAAAACTGAGTTTTATCTACTTAAGTTAATTGCTCTTCATGATACAGTATATGTATAAGTAATAAAGTTAACCTTCATACACTAATATTTATCAGGCATATTAGTAATTCTGTACCAGAAATTACATACATAACTTTACTACCTCCTTTTTCAATTACAAAACCTACGTTTCTGAAAACCATTCAACTCAAAAATAAAACCCTCCATTCCAACACTCCCAACCAGTGAATTTTGTCTAATACACACACTTTGATAAAGATATACAGCAAAATCTAAAAAAAACTTTCTAATCCTTATGCAATGCAAAATTCTAACACAATAATAAAATATACTATGTCATATATTAAACTATGTTGTTTGCAAGTATGTAGGAGAGTAGGACAACCTAAAATCAAATTCATTTCATGATATATAGTTTTATAAAGAAAATTTGTCATTTTAAAGACAGTAATTCCAATTAGAATTTTAAAAAAAACAGGAAATGTATATTCTATTAAAAATAAATAAATAAAGCATTATTAGCATAACATTATTCATACTTTAGTGCACCAAAAACTATTATGTAATACCAAATCTATGAAATTTTGTATACAAATGTAAGCTATTTACAACAGAAATTAAATTCATCTATTTTTATTATACATTTCTTGTGAAATATGTTAAATTGAAAGATTAAATATATTATACATTATATATATATTTTTTTTGAAAATTTGGATGGCATCAACTTTAGAAAGACTAATTTCTGTAAGGCATTTAAAATTGTTAGAGAAAAGATATTTAAAGTAATTTATTGGCAGGAAAACACTGTAATAAAATGTATCAATACAGTACACTATATTATGATTTAAATATTTTCAAAATGTAATATTGCTATGTACTATAATATTTTTTTATAGTGAACTGCATAATATTTCTGCTTATAAATGTGTAGCAAGTTTGAATCAAGGCAGTAGGATGAGACACAGGAAGCAGATGCACCTTCCTCACCCTTCCCCGCCCCAATTTGGATGTTACATACTGAAAACCTTTGCAAAATATTCAACAGTAAATTTGTAATTCCACTATGTTCCTGAACTACAAATTAAAAAAAAACAAAACAAAACAAAAACAAAAATTCAAGATCAATTTGCATATTTCAGATATTAAATACCTGAACTTGTTTGTAAGTCAAATTTCTATTAAAAATAATTAATTATTTTATTTTTATTTTATTATTTTAGCATAGACCTCCTGCATTCATGTAGAAATACATTTATTACATTGTAAGATACCTTTATGCTAAATGTAACAATGTGAACATTTTCAGCACAAAGTTCATTAAAAATTCTATAAACAATTAATTTATTAAAAATTGTTAGCCGCAACTATCTAGGCAGATATGGTATACTTAATGTTAATAGTTACTGTAAACAAAAGTGTTATATTTTATATACAAGTAACAATTTATTTTGTGGACATACAAGTTCTAACATTAATGGCAGAAAACAACAGAAAATGGAAGAAGATACATGTATTTATGAAAATAAAGCAATAATTCTGTGACAAAGATATTCTTTAGCATTTTGCTTTTTTAGTTTCTCAATCTATGCAACACAGTGGCACTTTTGAATATGCACAAGAAATCTCTCAGCTCAGCAGATTGGTTATCTTGTCATGAATTATTCATTGATGTTTGGATTTGAGTGATTCCATCAGCGTTCTACCTCCCCTCCTGTTTTATGTGGACCGACCTTCAGTGATTGTGCTGAAATAAAAAAAAAAATCACAATTAGTATCAAATGAACAAAAACTTGTTTGTATTGCAATTTAATCTATTGTTTCTTTCAATAGCTAGGTTCACATTCAGAGTTCAAGCCAGTCACTTTATGTGAACCTACCAGAATCAAATAACGTGCATAACTTAATCACCCTATTGTGATCTAGTGGAGCCATCTTGATTCATCATGATTAACCTTGATAACATGATGAATTCATGAGATCGAATTTAACCAATCAGCATTTATGAAACGGTCTGATACTTGAGACAACCTCACTTGTTGTACAGTTTTCATTGCAACACTGCACATCATTAGCATAAATAGATCATGATGTGGTTTCTATATGAACAGTTTTCTCTATGCTAAAGTTATCATGATGTATAGATCATGATAACATTATTCCAAAAACTTATGTGACCATGACTAATCAGTAAGTACAACTCCGTAATTAGATAGTAGTTAAATCTCAACATTTAGTTGGTCAATGTACTTCTGGTTCAAAGTTTTCATTGCAACACTGCACATCATTATCATAAATTGATCATGATGTGGTTTCTATATAAACGGTTTTCTATAACATGCTAAAGTTATAATGTATATATCAAAATTATCTCAAAAAAAATTTGTGTGAACATGCCTAATCAGTAAGTACAACTCCATAATTGGATGGTAGTTAAATCTCAACATTTTTTTGGTCAACAAAGAAAGCCGACATTATGAGGGCCCATATATGGGCATGATGTTATCATTGTTATCTGTCACATAAAATTGGATAACGAGGGCAGAGTTTTAGAATCGGCAGTATTTGAACCAAGGGCAGCACCAGGCATCTACCAACAGTTCACTCCTATTCATGCAAGTATTTTGTGGAGGCAGTTTGGCGCAGCGGGAACGGTTTGGTCTTCCAGCCTTGAGATTACGTTTTCAGTTCCTCACTGTGTATTTCTGTTGTGTCCTGCAAGCAAGGGACTGTTTCTGCATTGCTTCTCTAGACCAAGAAGTATAAATGATTTTGTCTGTTGAGCTAAAAATGGTCTATGAAGCAGAGCAATTGCCTTTGACAGACCCAATATTTCTTTGATCAAATATGTCTAAAAAACGAAGGTCCACTGATTAATCTCAGTAAGATAGTATAATACGTACTCCAAGTACCAAAATGCACGCCATCGTGTCGGGATTCAATATTTCGACATTAATTATGTTATCATCAGGAATGATGACATAATTAATGTTGAAATATTGAATCCCGACATGAAGGCGTGCATTTCAAAATATGTCTAAGGTAGCATACACTATCAGTAAATGTATGATTAATCATCATCAGACAAAATAATTGAAAGTGTATGTCAAATTTTAACTTTTAGCTTTTTCAGTCATGGATAAATTAGCTATTTCAGTATTTTAAAGCAAAACTTACCACCCAATTGTTTAGTGTGTTCTTTTATTTCTTCTGCAAGGTTTGCTCTCAGCTGCAATATATTTTCACGTTTTTCTTTTTCTACTTTTAATCCATTGCGAATCTTCTGCATTTCTTCTTCGTTGTCTGTTGTTTCCTGCCAATCATTTAAACTGAAAAATAAAAACAATGAAAATAATGTTTACTGTACAGTACTTACTACAATAATAATCATCAAGAATTTTTTCCTTCATTGATACACAATTGGAAACATCCTTGAAAATTGTGTGCTTCTCATCTACACATATAAACATATTGTTTTTATCCATTTTAATGTTATATTTAAACTCCTGTCCTTTGGCCACAATTTGTTACAAATTAAGTCTTGAATAAAAGTGATAATATTTGAATTTCAGAAACAAAATAGCAGAATAAGAATTATGTACTATAGAGAAATCTATTTAAATTAAAACAAAATAGAAAAGGAATATTTATTAATATTATTATTTTTAGGAAATTTCACTACTGCATTTCACTGATTATACCGCAAAGTTATCGCCTCTGATATTCGTAGGTCTAAGCAACCTTACCTCATAGATCTTATAAGAAATTATTCTGACCAGATTAATACATCAGTAACATTTAATTCATATTTTCCCGATTATTAGATTTGTATTTTTATTTTTTATGGTCTCATTTTATCAAGTAATTTATGTTTCTCTCCTTGTGATTTAATATTTAATTTGTATTTTATTTAAATATTTCATACATTTTTTCAAGATTAGTAACATCACAGTTATTAACATGTAAAACATTGTTGTTGTAAGATTGTCTATTATTATTATTATCCTTAATATCTATCAATTTCTTAGTATTTAAACCAAGACCTGTAGAATACAGTAATTCTTAGTTTTACTTCAATTTTTGGGAACTGATAATTTTCTTAGATAAAAGATTAGTTAATCTTCTGCTCTAAACAGCAATTGCTTGCTGGATTGCAGAAGACGGAGCTATTCTTCGGTGACGTCTGCAACTTGCAGGATACTTTGGCGCTAACTTGACTTTTCTCAACTTGGTACTATGTGAAAAAAGCCACAACAGTAATTTCTATGTGATGTAACTGATACATTGCAAATGACAATAAATCAAAATTGAAGTTGAAATTGAATGATCCAGAAACGTCTTAATGAGACTAACTCAACTTAACCTTAAAGGTTAAGCTTTAAGTTGAATGAAATTTATATGGTAAACATATCACATTCTTGAAAATTTACAAAATGAATAAAGTAATTTCTTATATAATTTCTTTCTTTCTTATTTCATATTTTTACATTAGACACTAATTCTAACAGATTCTAAAAGTTTTGGTTTACATTAAATAGAATTTATATGTTAAAAATATCACTTTCTTGAAAATTTATAAAACAAGGATTTCTTATAATGTTTATATAGACACTAATTCTATGGTTACCATTTATAGTAATTCATAAATTAGGTAAAGGCTAGTTATAAGAGGAAATGAATACAATAATGGTAGTGCCAGTAAGTATTCCAATACCAAGTTAATGCTTATAAATTCTATATGTATCATTCTCATACAATACATTACTAATCTTGACAACAGAAACTGTCATCGTGAATGGATACTTAAATATATTAGAATATGACTATAATAATGTAAGTAAACTAAAGAGAAAGGTGATGAACATGCTATAGAATATGCAAAGCAACATTTACTGTACGTCTACACAACATCAACATCTTAAGAAAAAGATGTAAAGCAGTGATTACATAGATTAGCATAATGCAGTGTTATTTAATAAAATGACAGGCAATGGCTAATGAAATAAGCAAATATGAATAACATGTGGAATGTGACTTGCAATTTAATATGCATGCTAAGGTCAAGCATATGGAAATGAATCAGCCATTTCATAGTTTCAACTGCACATGCCAGTATCCAAGGTCAATCGACCTTTGTTTATGTCGATTGACCTTCCGCAGTTCAGATTATGAAGGGGATTATTGGTCTATAATCTTGAGAGAATATAATGGGTGAAAAGACATGGTACAGTACAGTAAAGCTGAAGGGCTGTGGGGTATAGAAATGATGAAGGCTGACGAAAGCAAAAATGCAGGAATGAGGAAACACAAAAACAGAGAGCCAGGGATGATGATAACAGTAGAATGATAGAAATGTGTGGCACAGATAAATAGAGGAATGAATAGTGAAACAGGAAAGCAAATGAGAGCAAAGAATGGTTAAACAGAAAAGCAGAGTGGGTAGTCAAACAGGAGAATAGAGGTGTAGCAATGGAAAAAAAGGAACGCAGAGGGGTGGCCAATCCATCAAAAAGCTGATGGATTGATTAAACAGACGAGTAGGGATGAATAGACGCATAGAGGTGAAATGGTGAAACCGGAAAGCAGGGGTATAGGTACAGTAGCAGTAAAAGAGCGAGTGGGATGGTTATACACAGAAGAGAAATGGGTACCGGGAGAGTAAAACTGGAAAGGAAAAGGGCATGGAAGGACTCAAAAGTAGAAGAGGGGTACATGCGAAGATTCAACCAGGACATAGTTAGGGGTAGGTACATGCTAAGATTCATCCAGAACACAGTCTTATACTGTAAGTGTCACCAAGAAAAAAATGAATATTGGCAGTCAAAAGAGGGGAAGAGGGTAAACCTGGATCCACAACATCTATGGTTAATGGAGCAATAAACTGAAGGATTAGGAAGTAGCAGTTATACCTTAGAAAACATTTACACCTGGATAATACACCATGTCAATCATCTGATCTCAGATAATTTATGTTATGTTACACAAGTTATCTGATATTCCACCTTGGATACTGATATACCGCATACTGTACATAGATTCTAGGCATCTGACCGGTAAAAAGCGGTTAATAACTTTAACCATCACTCATATGACGTAGGTTTGAATGATAGTTCATAAATTCCCGGGGAAAAAGGAACGATGAAGTTAAATGATTTTTTTGCCTTTTTGCGGTAAGGTCGCATTGTAATCTCTAGGCCCCATTTATAATGTTTCTATAATTTATGGTACACACGGATGGTAAAGGGGCACGACCTCTACGATGCTGAAAAAGATTTGCCCTTTGATTGCCTAGGCTTACTTGGTGGGTACTCTTTTCATTACTTTTTTAAGGCCTCATAGAATCTATGTATGAGGTATATAAAACAAATATTGACTGCTCTAGATTCAGAGAACTGTGTAATCCATAGCCCCTCGGTGATGTGGAGATAGTAGCCTGGAAGATAATAGGCTACGGTCTCCACATCACGTCGCAATAAATTTCACCTTTCTCCTTTAGCAGTCAATATTTGTATACTATACCACATGTAGGCGAATAGCATATAACTTTAAGCTCTGACCACAATCTCAAAATTTATGTACCAGATGTGTGTGATGTGCCGAATTATACCATTTAAAAACATTTATTATATTAGCACAAACGGCCTTGGGGCTGCTTCAACAACAACGCCACAAGTGGTGCTCACAGCCCCTGGAACATAAAGTATGGGCATGACGGTGTCATATTACAACCAAATATGGGCATACACCTTTTTTTTTTAATTTAAAAAAATATATATTTTAATACAACTGCAGATATTAAACATCAGTTCTACACTCAGCAAACCCCATAAATCTGTGTTATAAAATTTCTACATGAATTAATTAAAAACATTTTAGCTGAGATCAATGATAATCAGATCATAAACATAACATTCGAATGAAAGCTACATCTTGATATATCTACATATTGTAATTTCTTACAAATCTATTAGGTATACAGTATGGGTATGAGTGTTATGATCATATAAAAAGTAACATAAATTATTGACACCAAATACTAATCCCATATTGAATTTTACTTACAATTCCCGGGGATGCCACTCTTGAAAACTGTGGTTGGAAGATGGATAAATAGCAAATAATATCAAAGAAATAAAAGCACTGCTGATAAACATATGATATCTGCTCAATCAATAGTGAATATGAAAATGTGAAATTACTTTATTTGTGGATTTTTTTATGAATTGTTTATTTTTTTTTTTCCAAATAAAGTGATTCCAAATTAAAATTATATACAATGTATGAATGATCAAATAGTTTCATCAGGTTTTGTATCGGTATGCTTCATATATTTTTAGACAAATAATCCAATAAGTTGATGTTGACTTGCGTAGGCTTTCGTCTTGTTCGGCCATCCCATGGCAAAATAACGTAAACTGCTTTTATATTTTTGTTAAGGTACGTTGTTCTGCCTTGGAAGGGCCGTGTTGTCAACAAGACTTCATCAGGCTGAATGAGCTGGAAGTTTTGTGAAACGTCGCGAGTGTCGCGCCTCTTATTGTCAAGGGAACGCCGGATCCAACAGGACCAGATCTGACGAAAGAGGCACTCACACTTGTGACTTTTCACAAACATCGAAATGTCCAGCTCATTTAGCTTGATGAAGTCTTGTTTGACAACAAAACGAAAGCTTGCGATAAGTCAACATCAACTTGTTGGTTTATTTGTCTAAAAATATATGAAGAATGTAAGAATGATTTAAAATGAATTTTTTATGTGGTTCTTCATTTAGAAAAATGATGAAAGCTATGGGATGCATCAAATAATGCAAAAAAAAAAAGCATAACAGGATGTAAAATCAATGAAAAATTCAAAGCTACATTAAAACAAAATATTTAGTAAAAAAAAAAAAAACCTAGATAATGACACTAAACTTAATGTTTAAGGTGTACATGAAAAATATTACATTTGAAAAATAAACTAATTTTCATTACCTACTAAACCAAAATTACATTACCAAAAAATAAATTTACAATGTTACATAAAATAAAATCATTGTCAGTTTCTAAACATTTTGTTCTCATCCAAGCAAAGCAAAAATAGAAAATTATTACATGGAACTGATGGAAATAACCGTAAATAAATACCTTAATAAATTGACTACCATAAACAAAAGCTACACAGAAAAAGACATTATAATATGTCTATTCACAATTTCAAGGGTAAAAGTTTCATAAAATGGAATTAATAATTACGCCGATTAAAAGCAAAATAGGGGTTCCAATTTGGAGGAAGGATATCTGATTTATTAGGCTTTCTTTAACACATCCTATTAGATTTTGTTAGACATGTTAATACAGATAAAATAGTATAATACATACTGTACTCCAAGTATCGAAATGCACGCCATCATGTCGGGATTCAATATTTCGACATTAATTATGTCATCATCAGTAATCATCATTATGGATGATGACATAATTAATGTCAAAACATTGAATCCAAGCACGATGGCGTGAATTTCGATACTTGGAGTATGTATTATACTATCTTATCTGGCATTAATCAGTGGACCTTTGGGTTCATGTTAATACTAATGGCCCAGAAAATCCAGAGCTGATAATACAATAGTATTTTTGCTTGCAATGTATGACTTTTAAATGAAAATATCTGCACATTTACTAATTAATAATAACAGTTTTTGGATGGTATGACAATGCATACAGAAGATATATTCAGCAGTGAAACAAAAATACACAGAAACATTCACAATGAAAATATTAATGAACTACAATAACTTAGCCAAGCTAAAATGTAACAGTACAAAATGAAAAGCTACTTTTTAACACAAAGTCAAAAATGGATGTTTCAGTATACATGTCATCTTCAGTATACTTTTCATCTTAAGAAACACATTAAAAAAACTTTACATAGGAAAAAAATTGGGAAAGATTGGGGATATTGGTGAGTGGGGGATGTCTGTTTTGATTAATTTATTTATAAAAGTACCAGGCAATAATCAATGGTAGAAGAAATTAAATCAACTATTCAGAAAGAAATGATAAACAATAACCACCCTCTCTTACTACTTGTGTGTTAAAAACAAACTGTGCATTTAAGTACTAGCTCAGATATTTTACATTCTTATAAAATACTGCAGCTTTCTAAGTTAAGAAAATAAAAAGAAAATCATTCTAAAAAATAGCTACTAGAAGCATTGACATCCAAATTATTCAATCTCTTTGGCAAAAAAAAAAAACAACAAAATAACACATGCATTTCTGCTCCCACTACACATCATTCTATTTGGCGGGATCTACATAAGCACATGCGGATTAGTATTTACTTTATCTACTTAGTAGTAAGTTGTGTGCAGCCTTTTTGAATAGTAGGACTGAGACCTGGAAAAGAAACACAGTAAAAGAAATTCCAATTTGTAATCCTATTATTAAAAAATTAACCACAAGAAAAACATTCCTTGTCAAATCTAATAATATTTATATATTTTCATTTCCTTTCAATCCTCAAAAAAAAAAAGCAACAAATGAGTGTATTGATGGTAATGATGATGATGATGATATTAACGACAATGATGATAATGATAATGATGAGGATGGGGATAACAATGATCATGACTATGACGTTGATGGTGGTGATGGTGATGATGATGAAAGATGATGACAACGATGATAATGGTGATGATGATGGGATGGTGAACATGCTGATAATGATGACAATGGTGGTATTGATGGTGAAGATCATGATTATGATAACTCTATGGTGGTGAAGCTAATGATGAGGATTAGGATGTTAACTTGTCTTTATGACAACGGTAATGAGCATGATACTAATATGAAAATTACTTTACTAATGATGGTGAAAATGGCGTTGGATCGCAACTATTAAATTGAAGGATGGGCTAGCTAGACATCAACTTTCACTACAGTAGAGATAGCTCTGTGAGTAGTGTTCCAGCAAGCTCCTAAATTTTTGAGAACAGAACAGTGGAAATGATTTTTCTGCCTTTTATGCTGTTTTCTTTTTCTTTAATAGTTTTCTTTGTAGTAAGGATATTTCATGGTTATGTTTCTTTTTTGTTCATAGAGGCAACTTTCTTGTATTATGCACTATATAAGACTTACATTCTAATATCATTTTTATTAATAATTATTGATTATATGATATATATGATATGATGGTGATGATTATGATAATCATGTGGAATTATGATATTGATGGTTTTCTAATCTTATTCTTTTGTATATACTTTCAAAATTTCATTCTAATAGCCTTAAAAAACACTACATTTGAATGTCATTTAAAACTATAAACATAGTAGTGTAAATACATTAAAAAAAGAACAGAATGTTATTAGATAGTTTAAATCTATAAAAAAAAAAAGATTGAAAATACTTAGTATTAATATTAATTACTGACAAATGATTATTGATTATAATCTCTCTATATCAATATCTATCAACCACTCGCATACAAAAAGTGATTTTCCTTTTAACAAATTTACACACTAGAGAAACTTTTTTCAATTAATACTTAACTGAAATTAAAAAAAAGAAAAACATTCTCCAAGTTATATTTTATATAAAGCCCTTTGACTGTTAAGCAAACCTTTGACCTTTAAGATAATTATTCTTACCTATGTGAGGTCAACATTTTCTTAATTCCTTCAGCTCTTTCTGATCGTCTTCTCTTCTCCTCCTCTGACAGCTCCTCATAATCATCATCAGAAAGAGGATTGTATCGTTCTGGTATTACTATCTTTGGTGGTGGTCCAAGCTATTCGGGGGAAAAATGTTGTAAATGATCAAAAATCTTCATCTGGATTAATATAACATTTAGATAATTATGTCAATTTAAAGCTGTGTTCACATTAGACTTTTTTTTTGGTCAAACTAACTATGTACCTTGTCACTTTGACCCATACAAATCCAGTGCAAACAGAAGTCTAGGTAATATTCTTCTTGGTCAAATAACCCAAGCCAAGGGTTAAGTATAACCAAGTAAACATTGCCCGGGAAGAATAACAGGCTATTTTTCCTGAGCAGAAATTTCCGATGCAAACAGCACAACTCGGTTAGATCTTCCTGAGCATTTACTACTACCGCGCATCGCTAAAATATGCACAAAACGTATTCATGACACAAAATCCTGCCATCTGTTCTTTAACACATGTTCGGTGGAACTCCGTTTTTACATCCAACTGCAAACAGTGGAATGATCTGCCCAAGAGAAAGTTACTCTTTGTCTTGGTCAAAATTAATCCAAAGCAAACATAGCTTAAACCTGTACATGGCTTTTGCCCTGTGTAGACTATATATTTCACTTGAAAATTTTATTTGACAAAACAAGTGACAAGCCCAAATATGGTCATAATGACATCACATCATGAACATAATTATAGGCACATCATGACTGCATATGGGCATACAACAGTTTGTTTTCAAAGTAATTTGGTAATCTTGACAGAGCGTTATGCCTGTATGTCTAAGCCATGTAAGAAAATATTTGAGTGCACACAAAGTAGAACAATTGTTAATTTCAGTTATATTAATATTACAACAATAAGTGTTCAGAGGGAATTGAAAGTCTATGAACATTCAGAAATTATTCTCTAAATTTTCTATCATTATTGATTCTTTCAACGGACATATTAATCATTTGCCTGTCGAATGTGTTGCATGCAAGAATGCCACTGTAATATAAATAAGCTGTTCAGAATCAAGAACATGCATTCTCATCATGACTATATCTGCTACATACTAAAAAAATTAGGTAAAAATATAATAATACATACAAAGGTGTAAATGTTAATTAAGGTTACAATGACATTGATGACTCTTCTAAAAACTAAGAAATTTCTATACTAAAAAACTATACATACAAACATAATTTTAATCGCATTGTTTTAATATCATAGATATTCGGTGGATAATTTTTTTAGATTATTTATTTTATTGTTCAAAATATTCATTAAAATTTAGCGAGGCAACATGCAAGCTATCTCCTTTTAGTGTTTTTTTTTTCTTTTTATCAAAACTATTATGACATTCACGTACTAGAGAGTAAGCGAGGGAAGGAAGAGTACCCGTTAGTTATATAAAATTACTGATTTTTTAAATTTATTTTATTATTTAATTTATTAGTTTCATTTTTATTTCTTGAATATGAAATGTTATACATCTTGTTGTACTGTTCGTAATGCTGCCTTAAGGCCAGTTTACACTATAACGATAAAAAGCTGAAAAGCAATTGGTCATATAGAAAATAAAAGATCGAATCGATAAGGATTTATTGTGTATATGATGAAAAAATAATTTCACAAATCAAATTAAATGAGGCCATAATCATGAGAAAACAATAAAATCGAAGTATTAAAAACGATTTTATCATTTTCCTATGATTATCATATTATTTGATTTGATTTGTGAAAATATTTTGTTATCGTAAATCCAATCGAGCTAGCGTGAAAACTCTTATTAAGACCCACACTCCTGTAACAATTAATTATTAACATTATTGTATAGTGGTTATTAATGTTCAATGATTATGTTATGAGACAAATGATAATGATTATAATGATATAAATAATAGTGACAATCAATAAAAATGACAGTGAAATTAGAAATTAATATAGTAGATATAACTCTGAAATACACAAAATTAACTGACATTAGAACTACAGTGGGGGTAGTAACTACACACCTAAATAAACTGCAATGAAGTTCTATACAAAGATGTTAACACCATCTTCACAATCAAAAATCCCATGCAACATCTTCACAGCATGATGCAATTAATAGATTATGATATGTTAACTAACTCCTATAAACTACTGAGGCCATGCCACACTACCAGAGAGGATATTTGTTCTGTGGTGACTTCAAAACGAACAGAGAACTTCTTGGAGTTGTGCAGACGTTTGGCTCGGATGTAGGCAAGAGGCAATGTGTGAAAATCAAACTTTAGAGAACAGAAGAATGAAGTATGGAAAAATTACATTAAAAAGATAAAATCACAAAAACAAATAGTAAGAAGGTTACAATATTTGACAAGGCATAGATTCATAATATGGTTTACAATGCATTCATATATAGTGAACATACTCACAATAAGCTAAAATAATGTATATTTACAGGATCACAGGCAGAAAAGGAGTGACTATAAATTCACAACATTAATTGTGATTACAATGCATTGATTTACAGTGCATAGATTCACAATGAGAAATAATGTATAGATTCACATGATCACAGGCAAACGAAGTGACTATCACAACATTTATTGTGATTAATAATACATTGATTTACAGTGCATAGCTTCACAAGGGGAAATAATGTATAAATTCACAAGATCAGAGGCAGAAGGAGTGACGGTATAAATTCACAACATTAATTGTGATTACAATGCACTGATTATACACAAGAAGCAATATTGTATACCTGTAGATTCACAAGATCACAGGAAGAAGATGTGACTATCACAACATTAATTGTGGTTAAACAATGCACTGACTTACATTGCATAGCTTCACAAGGGGAAATAATGTATAAATTCACAAGATCAAAGGCAGAAGGAGTGACTGTATAAATGCACAGCTTTAAGTATAAATAACAATGTATTGATAGACAGTGCATATAGATTTTCAAGGAAAAATAATAATATAATGTAAAGATTCATAGGATCATTGGCAGAAGTGACAGTAGACATTCACAACTTTTATTTAGAATGCATTGACACACAGTGCATAGATCATAAGGTGCAATAATGTATAGATTCACTGAAATACTACAATCGGAAGCGAGTATATAGATTCTCAACATTCACACGGATTGACAACGAATAAATTCACATAAGAATGTGTGACAGCAAATAAACTGTCTTTTCTGCTACAGTGCATACATTCACAACAATTGTAAAAAAAACCAAAAAACACACAATGCTTTTCTATCTATACTAAGAGAGGTACCATATATGGTGATCAAAAGAAATGGCATAAAAAGAAAACAATGTGATAATCCATGCAAAAGAATAAAAAGTATAAAATGATGTTTCTACAGATAGATAAAACAGGTGTAAAAACCAAAAGGAAATTGGTGGCTGGAAAAGGCATACATAACAGGTGGTAATACCAGGTGACATCAGTCGTGAAAGCTAAAAAGATTAAGGGCTTATAGAGGGCTGAAAGTACCGAACTACATGAAGCTTCATTGGAAAAAGAATCCAGCAACCGAGGACTCACCAAAGACCCACCAGACTCATCAATTCGGAATTCCTCCGTATTGACGCTATTGAGAACGTGTTCACTGGAGCTGCGTTGCAGAGCCTCCTCCTCGTCATCTGCAGTGAACATAGCACGCTTGAATTCACGTAAATCCAAGTCATGTGAAAACTAGGGTAAAATAAGGCACATTGTTCGAACAATTAATACAATTTTGGAAGAAATATTATGCAGATCTTATTTATATACAGTTGAATTTGTTTGACTTATAAGATAAAATTTGACTTACAGATTGTTAATTAATGAACTATACACAATAATTAGGCATGTAAAACAAGTTCGACTTGAAAATTATTTGAGTTAGGCAAGTTTAACTGTACTTCATTTTCATTTAATCTTGTGAAAGAAAAGAACTTACATTTGCAGGCTCCAGTTCAGAATCAGATACAATACCACGATCAACATCCTAAAAAATAAAAAAAAAAACAATATGAAAAAAAATACTTAAAATTAAGCCTTATTGTAATACTAGTTATTTGGGCATTAAAATGTATGAAATACATATTTTGTTTCATTTTCATCAAAGGGAAATGAGTTTCAATCAAGTCTTGTATTTCAAACATAACATGTTATTATCATATTAATTATTACAGATGGCCATCCATGTGTTGGGCTTCAGTCCAGGTGCCATGAAATAGTCATCAATGTGTTGGGCTTCAGTTCAGGTGTAATAAAATATAGCCATCCATGTATAAGATAGAGACCTATCTTATATGTGCTATATAAATCTATCTATTATTATTATTAATATGAGAAATTGCCATCTACGTGTTTGACTTTAGTCCAGGTTTGATGAAAATTAGGAACCCTCCATGTGTTAGGCTTTGGTCCAGGTGTCATTAAAAAATGGCCATCCATGTGTTTGACTTCAGTCTATATTAAACTTCGGTCCATGTGGAACAAGAATAGCCATTCATGTGCTTTGTATCAATCCATATCAGGCTACTACAATGACCGAGACAGTTTTGTGTTTTGAACTGATGAATTTTACATACTGTAATGAAATTACAACAAATAAATATTAGACCTACATCAGTAAACTGTTTGTTGGGTACAATGTCCACTCCCATTAGGCTGTTGCGGTCGGGCATGGATGCAGTGCGACGAAGAGCTTTCTGTCCATTCTTCTGCTTTGGCTTGTAGTCATCTAAGTAAAAGAAATACACCTTTTATCAGTAGCAGATTCAAATGGTAGGGAAAAGGCATGTTTTCTACCTCTGTCTGGCAACATTACAATTTTCCTTAAAAAGATTCTAAACTGTAGAAAACCCCCGAGCCAGCTTTACTGAAAATCTTGTCCTTAAACCACTTTATGTATGTCAAATAACATCAAAGGATAAAACAATTGTCTGCTTTTCCTCATCTTATAACTAAAATAATACCCATTTCACACTGATGCTATTTTGCAAATATTAACAACTTGTAACAAGTTGTAACCAGGTTTGGATGAGTGTGAAAGCAAAATCCTTGTAAACTTTCTGAGATTTCACAGGGGTCCCCTGAGTTATCTCGGAACAAAAACAGACCATCGCGAGGCCTGTTTTTTTCCCGAAATCTTCCCAGTTGTTGTTGCGCATGCGTCATGTCCATATTTTGACCGTTTTGCGGGCTGTGTTTTTTTTTAGTTCGAACGAATGGCGGCAGCGATGGAAAACGTATCAACATTACTACCATTTGTTAATAGGCCTAGACCTAAAATCAAAAGAAATCTCGCTAAATTTCACATGTTTGATGTAGAAACAATCACGAGGCTTCGTAAAATACGCCGACAGCGAATCATTATGATGCTTGTCGCACTGATTGCCTCTAACAACAATGGTGAGCTACCGGCCGGCGGCGCCTAGCTAGCCTGGGCCTATCTTTCTCGCCAGCTCGACTACAGCAAGCGAGCTAGGAGTTGAATTCGTTTTACTCTCCGAAGGCTAAGGACCATGGAATAATTATAATCTTGTTAATTCGGTACCAGGCCTAGTTTAGTAGTTGTTATGTAATTCGGACAACCTACAACTAGCCTAGGCCTACTAGTACTACCCTAGGCCTCTAGGCCTAGTCATAATATTCTTCCGAGTTTTCCTGAGATTTCTCATGGTTTGAAAGTGCATGTGTGAAACGAACCAAAAATCTCGGAATATCAAACTTGTTACAACTTGTTACAACTTGTTAAAAGTTGTAATATTTTCTGCTAGTGTGAAATGGGTATAAAACTCCACTAAAAATTGAGTTACATTCAGCAGCACTTTGAGGGAGACAATTTTGCATGAACAGATCATCCAGTAAAAACTTACATCGAATGTCAAATGTTCCAGAACGTCTACCAGACGTTGAATTTGGACGTTTCTTGCGCAGATCGGATTCCTTCCGTCTCTCCGACTCTCTCTTCCTCATCCTGACAGTCTGCTTCTTGTCTTTCATAGCAGGACTTCCTGATGATGTACTAGAGGTTGTGAGTAGGGATGATGGAGCACCATTTACACCCCCATATGGGTGTAGATTACTGTGGGTTGTCTCAATGCTTAATGGAGTAAGTACTGGAGATAATGCTGGTGGCTGACTGGATAAAACTGGAGTTGAGTGTCTTTGATGAACTGGGTCTGTCTCTTATACACATCTAGATGTGTATAAGAGACAGCATTTGAGCAGTATTATTATGTCATATTACCTGTTTTAAATAATAGTTTGTAGTAGTTTTATGTACCTTTCTTTTGAATGCTGCAATTGAGTTAGTTCTTTCATAACAAATGCAGTTGAGTTGTTTCTTTCATGGTTTCTTTACATGTGATTGACCCGAAATGTCATGAAAAAACATTAAATCCGACATTTTAAATATTATATGTGGGTATTTTTTTTTAATATCCTACCCATTAAACAGGAGCTGCGAAATATACAAAATGGTGTAAAAAAAATAATCTTGTAAATAACGTATGAGGAGGGCTAGCCTTTGAACATGTTTTGTTGAATATCTCAAAACATTGATTGATGCAGTTGAGTGAGTTTTTCATGACAGGGCA